GGCCGCGCCCCCGCGCCGCCCCCGCCCGGCGCCCGAGGGTCGCCCCCCGCCGCCGCCTGGCTGGCGCGGCGCTGTCGCGCGGGCAGGCGCTGCTTGCTCGTCTTCCCGGGTCGTACCCTGTCCCGCTAGTGCTCGTCTCTCCACTGCCGCTGCCGTCTGCGCCGCCGCTGCGGAAGCAGCAGCTTCCCCTGGCGTCCGTATCACAATCTCCGTAGATCTCAAGATGCGGTAGACCGACCCGGCAGCTGCCGGCGGCTCGAGAGAAGCTACACGGCAGCTGCTGCCCACCTGTGGGGTCCGGCAGGGGGCTAGGAATGGGTGAGGGTAGATGCTCCGTGGTGCGCGCTCGGGTTCGCCTAATCAGTACACGGGGACGAGCCAGCTAGCGGCGGCGCTGCCGGCCGAGCGCTGACGTCATCTGCCCTTGAGCCGGAGGATCTGGTCTCCAAGGGATCGCATCGGGAAGGGCCATCTAGAGATCTAGCTCAAGGCCTGCCTAGTCGCACCGAGAAGTGGATCAGGCAGCCGGGCTCAACCAAGCGCTGCTGCAGCCGGACGGGCAGCCAGCAGCAGTGGCGGAGCTCTTGTGGCACCCAGACCTATGTGATGCAGCAGGGTTTGAGTAATTGACGCGTGACCGTGCTTGGAACGAGCGTCGCACGCGCAGCTGGGTGTGCAACGCGCCGGGGCGGTATCGGCCGCAGGGGCGGGCCGGCGCGCGTGCGTTTGCGCTTACCTCCGCGCGCCGTGCAGTGACGGGCGCGCCCACAGGCCGCAGCTGCGCTTGCAGCGGGGCCGCGCCGGCGAGCGCCTGGAGGGCGAGCTGGAACAAGGAGGACGATGGGCTGGGCGGGGCCCCAGTCGCGGGGAGCCGCCACTGCTGGTTGACGGCGCACTCGACGCTGGGGTCAACTGCGGCGGCCGCGACCGCGCTGTGCGGCGGGGGTGCTGCTGCCTGGATGCCGGCCGCCGAGATGCTGCAGATGCACGTGAAGGTGTCTCCTGCAAATATTACGACTGCCTTGAACACGCTGAAGGGGTCGCAAAGGCAATTTTGACAATCGCTCGCTCACCTGAGGGCAGCTCCAAGCTGATTCGAGCGGGCTGTAGATATGAAACGCCTGGAGCAATATCTGCTGATGCTAGCACAACACGCTGGCTGCCCAGATCATGTATGCCATTCGCTGCAAGCGAAATCATGAAGCGTGCACGCTCGATTCGGATTGTGCATGCTCTCTATCACTTCAAGGCTCGATTTGCCATCAAGAAGGCTTGCTTGAGCGGTGTCCGTCGTGCTGCATTGTCACTCGGTGACGCCGCGCTGGAGGTTGGGAGGTTACTTTGAGCAGTATGAGCCCTTTGCATGAGGAGCAGAGCGGATTTTGGAAGCTCCATAGCTTCCATGTAATATGCTGACTCTGAGTACTCGTCAACAGCCAATATCAATTGTACCAATCAAGACCTATTCACAGCAATCACTGGCATAGATGCGATCAGCGCTGTGACATCGACCCCATTTGGACCAAGCTAAGGGAGAGCATAATCTAATTCCAAAGGTCTGTACAGGGCTGCCCCGGCGAGCGTGAAACTCAGTAGCTCGTACCCGGCAGCGCCACATTTGGCAGGAGCCCTGCGGCCGCCCCGCCTCCGCCGCGCGCGCGCTGGCACGGGTGCAACTTTCAACGCCCACGGTGGCTTCTGGGCGGCTGCGGCACCGGCCGCGCCGGCCACCGGCGTTCTGAGTGGCTCTGCTCGCCGCGAACTCCCCTGCTGGATGTGCTTTGCCGCCTGAAAACGCACTGCTGTGTCACCCACCGGATTTTCGCTGAGATTGTTATCAACACCGCATGCAGAGGCGTGACAATGTGCGACGCCTGAATCAGCACGATTCAGCGGCCAGCGTGCAGTGAAGCGCGGGGGCTGCGGGGCTGGCAGCCGGCCGCTGCAGCCCATATCACAAGTGGTTGTGCCTCACATCATACGACAGCCGCCGTTTTGTTACTCGGCACCACGGCTTCGATTGCGGTTGCGGCTGCGGCTGCGGCTGCGGCTTCGGCTGCGGCGGCGTCGCTTGCCGCTGCCGTCCTTGCTGTGCTTGCCGTCACCACTGTGCTTGCTTTCGCCACTGCGCTTTTCGCCACCGCCGCCTTTGCCGTCGCGGCCGCCCTTGCCGTCGCCACTGTGCTTGCCGTCGTCGCCACCGCGCTCGCGGTGCCTGCTGGGGTCGGCAAGGGGTGGGTGGGCCCGGCATCAGATCGTGGGGTGTTGCTCGGCAGGGCCTTGCAGCGCAGCGCTGACCCAGGTGTCGCCCCCCAGGCGACGCGGATTGCTGAACCTTTGCGGAGCTCAAAGCGCGGCGCGAGGGCGCCCCACTTTGCTCCCGCGTTGCCATCGGGCCCCAAAGCTCTGGCTGGCATGGGAACAAGCAGCATCAGAGGTGCGGGCACAAGCCGCTGCAATGCATGCAGAATACAGGATGCACAAACACCACCCAAGTAAGGCCAACACCGCACTCCTCAACCAACCCCAGCTGCCACCTACTCACACCCACTTGCCCCTGTGTATACACACATACGCACGCACACACACAGACACACACACACACACAGACACACACACACACACAGACACACACACACACGCAGGCACCCACACACGCGTACACGTGCGCACACATACACGCATGCACGCAGACTCGTGCACACACATATGCACATACATACACTCACATACACAAGCACAAGAAGAATCACATGCACATGCAAACACACACGTGCACACGTACAGTACACGCACACGCACACGCACACGCACGCGCACACACACACACGCACCTGCTGCTCTTCCGCTTCTTGTGCTTGTGCCCGCCGCTGTCCCGCCGCCCCTCCCTGTGCGACTGTGGCCCGCCCTCCGCCGGCGCTGCTGTAGCATCTGCCCCGCCGCCGCCGCCGGCGCCGCCGCCATCGCCGCCGTTTGCGGCAGTGGGCACCTCCCCTTCCTCCGGTTGGTCGCTGCGGCGCCGCTTGCCCTGCTGCTGCTGCTGCTGCTGCTGCTGCTGCTGCTGCTGCTGCTGCTGCTGCTGCCCAAGCTTCGGCAAGGAGATTTGTTGCAAACGTGTGCCCAATGGGTGTGCACATTAGGTCGACGGTGCACGGCGGCATCGGACCCGACCATCTCATAAAGATGGCGGGCAGAACTGGATGACGTGTCACGCACCGTTTCGACCCTGGCAGCTCCCCCACATCGGGCGAACATGTAGCCGCCCGCGGCTGCCTCGCATGCGTGTCGTACTGCTCCGCGTCGCGCCGCCTCGCGCCGTCTCCGCTGGCGCGCCCCTCGCATGCCCCTGACGCCTGGCTGAGCCCCAGGGTGCGCGCGCCACCCCCCCAGCCCCCCACTCCACAGCGCCCACCCCTCCCCCTCACCTTTTCAATGAACGCTTCGAACATCTGCTTCGCCACCTCCAGCCCCACCTGATGTTCAGGATCAGGGTTTAGGGTTTAGGGTTCGGGGTTTACTCGGGCCGCCCCCGGAGCGCAGGCGCCGAGCCCTCAGGCTCGCGCCGTCTGGGCCGCCGGCAGCGCGCCCCGCGCCGCGGCCTCGCCGCAGCTGCAGCCGCGGTGCGCGTGCGAATACTAAGATATGAATTAGCGGCCGCGGAGCTCGGTGGCGCGTCGCCTGTGCCTCTCGGCGTGGATGGCCCACACGCGGGCCCCGCCCTGCGGCGCCCATCTACAGCCGGTAGGACGTACCCCCATTGCAACCCAGAGCACCGCCCGACCAGAGCTGCGGCAGGCCATGCCCGCCGGCTGTGCCACCGCAGCCCCCCCGTGAGGCAGCCCCTCCGATGCTTCCCCTTAACACGCACTGCTGCCACGCAGCTGCCGCGAGGCCGCCGCGAAACTGCTCCTATGCTGCCGCGAGGCTGCCGCAAAGCTGCTGCAAAGCTGCTCGTCGTCCGAGCATCGCTCACCCCCTTCAACTCGGGCTCGTCTTTGAATGCCGCCTCAAACTCCGCCCAGGTCGTGTCAGCGCCGAGGCCCCGCGCGTGCCGCAGGAAAGAGCCGAACACGTCCCGCGCGCGGCGCAGCTTCTTCTCGGCTTCCCGCTGCTTCTCCTTGGCCCGGCCGACTGCCTCATCAAAGAAGGCGCGCCTGTGGAGGTGGCGCGGGGCGGTAGCGCAGCTTGGGGGTGGTGTGTGGGGATCGGACATACTGTGCGTGCCGCCCGCTGGGTGATGAGGGCGCGGGTGCACACGCACGCACACTCACACACACATACACATACACACACCCTCACACACACACAGCACGCACACACATAAAATGGCGGCCGACACCCCGCCCCTGCCGCCCACGAAGTCTCCCCTGGCAGCGCTACCAAAGACACCGGATCCAACGCAACGCGATTGCATGTCGTGCGCGCGCTCACAAATGGATGTCGTCTACACCCTCCAGCCCCTTCACGCCGCCGCCGTTACCGCCGCCGCCATCGATGCCGCCGGCGTTGCCGCCGCCGTCCGCATCGCCGGCGCCGTTGCCGCCGCCAACTGCATCACCGCCGCTGCTGGCGTTCCCGCCGCCGCCGCCGCCGCCGCCGCTGCCGCCGCCGCTGCCGCCGCCATCGGCCGCCTGTGTGGCCTTGGCGGCCGCCCCGAGCGCTTCCTGGAACCCCTCCCAGCTGCTGTCTGCGCGAATTGCCCAGGCAGCGGTTTTGGAGGGTGACGTTATGTTATATTTCGTGGGCACCGGGCGGTGGTGGAAGGGTCCGAGGTCTTGAGTCGGCTGGATTGGGGTGGAGAATTGAAATGTCAGGGCGCGGCAGGGGCTGCGGCCCGGGAACGGCGCCTGAGGCGGCGCTTGCAAGCTGGTCTGCGCAGTCCTGGGCCGTGCAGAGA